TGTGTCGTCGAGAGAGCGTGTTAAGCTCTGGAAACGACTGCGCCGAAGAGTCAGGAGGTGTGCTCTGTGTTTCGTCGAGTGCACCGCGATTTGTGGCTTGGAGTTCCGAGAATGACCAAGCAGGCTTGGGAGCTGTACTCGAGTGCTTTGCAGTGAAGCTGTCTCTACCGTTATTGCCTGACAATGTGAAGGCTGTGTCACTGAACGTGTCAGCGCGTTTACAACAGTTCGACGACTGTAAAAGTGATTTTGGAGCTATCTGATTAATATTGGTAAATAAAGTGTGTTTCGATACTTCATCAAGTGTCATCGTTATTCACTCCAAATCTACCAACCCCGTACGAACATGAAGGAAGAAAATAACGTAACTGGTGTCAGAAAAGAAAAACGCAACAGTATTTTAAGGGAATTATCGAAATTCAAAAATAGTAAACAAGTAATGGAAGTTTTTGTTACTACAAGTTAAAAAGCTTTAGAAGCTAGTTACCTAGTAAGAATTGTCAAGACTAAGCTGGCTCACACTATTGGAGAAAACCTTATTGACAGCAGCTTAAGATATCGTTTTAACACTATTCAACAAAAAAGTTGCTAAAGAACTTAATATTCCATTATCAAATGGTACAGAAAGTCGACGAATTCATGAAATGGCATATTCCATAAAACAGACATTTATTCAAAAAATAAAACACAATGAGTATTTCACATTGCAGTTGGATGAAAGTACTGATATTATTAGGTTACATATGTTTCGAATAAGATAAACAAATTGCTGAAGAGTATTTATTTTGTGAATCTCTTCATGATACAGCAACTGCAAGTGAACTTTTCAAAGTAATTGACAATTTTATGTCTGAGAATGAAATTCCTTGGAATAAGTACATTGTTGTATGCAATGACGGAGCTCGCGCTATAAACAAGAAAACATTCCTGTGTTATTTAAAGAAAATTGCATCTGAAAGTAAATTTACTCATTGCTGCATTTATCATGAAGCTTTTGTAGCCAAAACAATCCCCGAAAACCTTAAAATCGTTTTGAATCAAGCTGTGAAATTTTTTATTTTATTGAAAGCCAAGCTTTAAATTCAAGAATATTTAAGATTTTATGCCAAGAAGTGGACAGTGAACATGAAACACTTTTGTTACATTGCGAAGTAAGGACTTTGCCTCTGGATAAGCAGTTTTGAAATCTCTTCTTTTTTTCTTTTTTTTTTTTCCCTCCCCTCCCAACTTTGATCAGAAATTCAAATTTTCTTCTGATTCAAAATTTGAATTGCAAAAATGTTTATTTAGTGAATTATAATTGGCACGGTTAGCATATTTAGATGATATTTTTTGGAAGTTAAATGAGTTAAATTTAGGATTACAAGGACAAAGTGTTAATTTGTTTACCATTAGAGATAAAATAAATGTGATGATAAAAAAAAAAAAAAAAAAAAAAACTTGAGCTAATAATGAAAGAATTGGATAAGCTTTTTACCACTTTTTGAAAGCTTTCTAACTGAAAATAATTTGAAAACAAAAGAATTAGCATCCAATATCAAAAATCGTTATTTTTCATTGATAAATTTCAGTACCGTAATTTCCGGAAGAAAGGCCGCATCTGCGTAAACGCCACACTCGAGAAAAATGGCGGGAAAAAAATTAAAATTGCACAGAAATGCCGCATCAGCGTAAACGCCGGTATACATTAAATTGAGCGTGACATCGTCGTGGGCCGTATAGATGCAAAAACTCAACCTAAGTCCTGATATATGAGATATCATCTCCCTTCGGAATAGTCTTCCGTTTAAAAATGATCATCGGCTTTAGCTTGTCACCGTTTGCGGCACAAGCTAACACACATGTAAATGACGTTCTTTCATGCCCCGTCATAAACACAGATACAGTTTTTGCACCAGTTTTTCATCAAAAGTTCTGTTTGCAGGAGAGTCGAAAGCTAACGGCGTTTCATATTTCATCCATATTTATTATCTGCGACCGAAGAAGTTTTTTTTTTTTTTTTTTTTTTTTTTTTGTCAATAATAGCTGTCATTTAGAAAAGATGACTTTTTATCCTGCCAGTCCATTGGTAATTGTTGCCCGACTGTTGTTCTAGTACACACAGAAATATTTCTTCTTTTCATAAATCTGCTACACCTTCTTTGAAATCATTTATGTTCATTCGTTTTGCTATAAATTTTGCTTGTAAGCGAATTTTTACTGTCGAAATTGCCATTCCCTTTCCTTGTTGCTCCTTTATCCAGTTTGCAAGGTCGTCCTCTAGATTTGGCCACCTTACAGTATCACATCTTTTGGCTCGTTTCTGTTGTGGCATATTTTTAAGAAGTTCTTTTTCAGTTCTCCAACGTCGAATACTGTAACATGTAGATGTGCACCTCATATTTTGGTTTCAATCGGCCGCGCCAAACGTATATAAATATATCCACTCTGTTACCCTGCTCAGTGATCTCAGTTTCTTTACTCTTATATGTTTGTAAATTGTACACTTTTTTCTTTAAAAATGATTGAATTATGTTGTTTTTATCTTCCGGTTAAGGGTTTTATGCCTTTAGTAAATCTGTATGCAATATTTTTAGAATTATCAACAATTTTAAAGTTGTTTAAGTGCCGCTAAGCCTATTTTGATGGCGGCCATTGCTTGTTTACATTTTAAACAGCTGAGTAGTGAATTTGTTGCCAATCTAGAGAAACATAGGTTTGCAACAACAAAGATAAACACCTTCATTTATTATTGCGATTTAAATCATGCTTAATCCTTTCTGGAATTTTTTCGAGAAAATAAGTGTTTAAGATAATTTCTTTTATATATCATTTCTAGCTTTATTATAGTACTTGAATAGAACATGTGGCAATGATTAGATAATTCTTTAAATGATACAAATTTTGTGCATTCTGAGTTATAATATGAACGAAATATAATACTGTTAAGTGAACTTAGTGCCAGAGTGTCGCTATGGTAAACAAATAGATTGAAATTTAAAGAATGCACTTATTCTATTGTGGTTTAGACGCTGTGGGCGAAGTAGATATAATTAAATCCAATAAGTTTCAAAATGCAAGAAAAAATGCGTATAATTTAATATTTCATACAAGGAAGTCGTGGTGTACACATCAGATTTTTTAATATTTCTATTGAGAAATTGAAAAATAATCATTGTAAAAAGTAGTGTTGGTACTAAAGTTTTTAAATTTTTGTTTAGATGGTACATGTTAGTCAAAAGGTTGAGAACCACTGGTCTAAAGTGCAAACTGGAGCTTGAGAAGGGCGTAAAAGGACCTTTGTTTAAAACTCAATGAGAACAGAAAGCACACTTGGTGCTTATGGCTAACCCAGCCACTTTTAGTGAGATAACTTAAAGTATACCAAGTTCAAAGGTAAAATTTTTAATTAAAATAAGCTGGTAGCTAATGGCTACACAGATCAGTTAATGCAAAGTTGGCTAAAAACTTGGAATTCAGCTATCAGCAATTATGATGTAAGAGCAAAGACTACAAATTTTATCTGCTCTAGCAACTTAATAACATGGCCTCGAGAGGCAGAACATGCACTCTTAACAATTTAAAATACCTCATCTTTAAACACATATAAACTAATTTGCATTCTGGTTGGCAAACGGAAGGGAGAAGTAACAGTAAGAATCCAAAACATAAAATAACAGGTTAACTTTACAAGGTATTTCTTATTCTAAATGAATTTTCTTATTTGTTGATAAACTGCAGTAAAGAGTCCAAAATCCAGAATGATATAGGTTGTCAATCTCCGCAAAAATAGAAATTTTACTTTTGCTGCAAGTAATAATTTCCATTTATTAAACCGTACAGAATAATTAAAATAATGTAATGAAATAAGGTCTAAAGTCAAAGTCTGGGAATGGAGAATATAATTAATAAAAAATAGGATTTTTCTCCCCACATCTGAGAATCCTGCATGTCGCTTTCAACCACCTGTTGGCTAGGGGATGGCACTGTGACCAAATACAATGCATTTATTGAAGTTATATTAATATTGGCTTTGATCACAGTTTTGTCCCCTGAGTTCTTGGAAGGGGAAATAGGTTTGGTGCTAATTGCTACTGCCCAGTGTTTCTTCTAAAATTATTTAAAAACTCGGCCATCCCTATTTTTGCTGCTACCGATTTCACCAACCTTGTGAGAAATGAAGCTAAAATGTTGCCTTATCTGCATGTTATTATACTAGATTTAAACTAATGATATCAAATCTGGAAATTTCCAGAATCACCAAAGTCTCGACAATTCTGGTCCCGACTTTATTTTATTTTCGTTAATTTAAAACCAATTTTATTTTTAAAGAATGTAGAGAGTAGTATGAACTTGCTTTAAATGTACAACTCTTTATTTTGATAAAAATCAATGCCGTCTAGATGTTGATGATTTTTAAAATTAAATGTTATAATTAGTAGTAAATTTACTATTATATTTCAAAATATGTATTATGTTACTATACTGTATATTGTAATTATTACTGTATTTCACAATACACAATAAAAATTCAACATAATACAAGTATTTTCGGACTAAATACAGATTATTTTTGGGGGGTATGTTTTTTATCCTCTGTATTTATTTAAAGCCATAATTTATTATCAGACTACAGGATAAGTTGATGTGAACAGTTAAACTGTAACATTTTAAAATTACACATATTTAAATTTTGATTGAATAAATTGTTAATGGTAATTTTGCTAGTTGTAAAATAAAAACAATGAGATAATTTTCTTCAATATGAGTAATTTTTGCAAATATTATTAAAATAAAATTTTCTAATTTAAGCCTTGATATTTTTTTAATTTTATGTCTGGATGTTTATAGTCTGAATTTATATTCATTGAAATTCATTCATTCATTGCACTAATGTTTATAAAATTTTACCAAAGTAACTTGAATTGCATTGCTTGTCTATACAATGCTTAAAATGTTTTGACTAAAAAAATAATTTCCATCATTTTAGATCATATTATAACATACTGTGTAAATTTTAGGGTTATGAAACAGCATTTTGCAAAGACACAAGTGACACAAATGACGAAGATGTGTGGTATGTCCGTCAAGCCAGCGATCATGATTTGCATGCGGGGGATATAGTAGCAGTTGAGGAAACATTTGATGTAGAATATGAGGTAGAGTCGGATGATTCCTCTTTGTGTAGTGATCAAGGGGAAAATGATTCCTATAGTGATGAGGAAAAATATGTTAAGGTAATGTACCTGTATTATTTAACAATAATGTAAATTATATTTTAGGGCTAGGAAAAAAGTGTTCCATTAATATTTTTTATTAAATTGGACTTCATCTGTTAGTAAATTCGTGTATGGTTAAATGAGTAGTTATTCTTAATGTAACTATAAATTTTATTTCAATTAATTTTTTTTTATTTAATCACTTTTCAGCATTGTCCTTTTGCATTGTGCATGATCTACCTTTGTGCAGTCTTTCTTATGCTTTCAGAGAAGAATATTTCTAGGGAACAGCAAGCCAACTTATATAGACTCTTTCTTAAGCTCTTTGATGTTATGTTAATCACTGGCATCATAATGACTCTTTGAATGAACCAGAAAGTGATTTTTTTTTTTTTTTTTTTTTTTTTTTTTGCAAGAAGTAAAACTGAACCTTCACCGAGGACTAGCTTGAATTTAAATTTGAATTTCTAAAGAATTTCAATAGTGTATGGAGGATAGACATGGTCATGCAAAGGTACAGTACCTTTTGATAGCAGTTTTTTGCATGGTTTCTACTTGCAAGCAGCATCTCATTTTAGAGAACATTGTTTATATCATGATGCCCTTGAGTTTTTAATATTCCAGTGTAGTGAGCTTGTGATCTCCAGAAAAAATATAAGCATCAGTTTTATTGCTTGTGATTGATTTTTAACACTTCTTGGGGCTTGGATCTATGTATGTTTCTGTTGTGTACTCTTACTTTATGCACTATAATTATGGGTTGAAGTTTTAGCAGTGGAGAGAATTTAGCATAGATAATATGTTCTTTCCAGTGGTGATTTAAATGTTGTTAGAAGATAGTCTATGGGACATTGTGAGATGTTTGGGAACCCATCTTCTATATAATTTATAAAAGCAGAGTCTATTGAGTGTGATCTGTTAAGTAGAAGACAATTTAATGCTTCATTCATTATCTTTGTGACAGTTATGTAATGTGGACTCAGTATTGCCCTCATTTGTGACTGTGAACAGGTGTCCGTGTTTTTCCTCATTAATAACACTTGTTTATTTTTTCATTCCTTGTTAGATGCTCCACAAGAGTAAGTTTAAATTACTGTTTCCATAATTTGTAATGCCTGATATAACCTCTTGAACACAAAAACTGAATCATTAAACACATCTTGCTTTGGGGTGGGAGTAGTACCAAAACAAAGGTAGAGCAGCTATAATTAATGGCAGTTATGATGGGAGTATCAAACTTGCATTAAAATAAAAAGATGTTTACCATATATAACCATGCTGTGCAAAACAGCATTTTTGTAAGCAAAAATAAAAATGCAATAGCATTTTGAATAATTACAGAATTAAGAATATTATGCATTTACTTTTAGTGCTGATTTTCTGAGTTGGTAACATATATTTTAAAATTATTTGTAATGCATAGTTTACAATTTAGTTAATTATCCGAAAGTTTACATTAACCAGTTTGTCTTTATTTTATGTTTTAGTTATCTAAAAATATTCTTATTTCACATGGGTGTGTCATCATGGAGTTACATTGCCACTCGGGTAGATACTGTCATGGTTTTAATAAATGTAGATTTGCAGTTTATTATTTGGTTTGGAAAGAAGTGTCAGGTTTTCCATTCTTTTTTTTAATTTAAGGCAAGATAATTCGTATGTCCTGCTAAAAACCTATGGTACACTGCAAAAAAAAGGGGGGAAGGACTGTTCTATATCTCGCGTTCTACTGGGCCGCTTGACAAAATTCAACTTACGTTTTCCATGTCTCGAAAGCGTAACTTAGGATATGTATTAGATTTATATATAGCATTGTTCTAATATAGGTAGTTTGACACAAAATCGGACTTTTTCCGAAATGACATGCCAATTTTTCCATATTTCGATTCTACAACTCAGATTATGCCAAACTGCCAAGCTTTGTAAAAATCGCATGAGTAGTTTTTAAAAAATTAGCTCTCAAAATTTTAGCTCCTCAGTGTTTATTGAATTTGGTATATATTTGTTAATCTGTCTTTTTTTATGAAACTTATTTGATTCTTCCTTTCACATTTCGAAATTTAGGTTTATTCCAAATAAAATTTGCGCATTTATTATGATTTATTTTTAAAATTTGCATTTGTAAATAATTTTTATAAATTTTTCAAAAAAAATTTGAATTAAAATCTGTAAAATTTATACCATCAAAGTAGATGTATTTATAAGTGTACCTGCAAAAAATTAAGAGTTTTTTATTCAAAATTTCCTATGATATACGTGAAGTTACATATTGGCATGTTTTGAAATTTGGCATATTTGTTGAAAGCGGTAATAATATCAAATGTGGCTTAGGCACTTTGTTAAAATTACTTGAAAGTAGGAACAATGCGACTTTTTTTTCCGCTTATGCACAATGTAAAAAAAAAAAAAAAAAAGGAAAATATGTTGCCATATATTAAGCAATTTACCAAGTAAATTATTATTAGCCCAAACAAAGAAAAATTGCGGCAATATAAATTTTTGAATAGCTCTAAATATTTTTGCACCGAATTTTACAAAATTTAATATTTAGGCATAATTTGAGTCGTGGAATCGAAATATGGAAAAAAATTGGCATGTTATTTCAGTAAAAGTCCGATTTTTTTGGTCAAAATAGAACAATGCTATATATAAATCCAATATATATCCTTAAGTCCTGCTTTCAAGATATGAAAAGCGCAATTTGAATTTCATCAATCAGCCAGGTAGAATGGGAGATATAGGAACTGCCCCCCCCCAGCGCGGTGTACCTTCTGATTAGCCATGTCACCAAGAAAGGTTGCCAACTTATTGGTGAAAAACATTTGTTTGGCTATCTTTATGGTTTTTAGTTACTACTCTATTCTTAAACAGCATTTAATGAGGAAAAACAAGAGGCTATATCATTAATATTTACTGGTAGATGCTGTTTAGCAGAATGGCCATTAAATGTAAAGTGTGTAAATTCTGCATATGTAATACGTGCATGTTGGAGTTATTTACTGTTGTTCCGGTTTGACTAGAAACTTTCACTATGCCGATGTTCCGGTTTCATTAGAAACAAACTTTTCTCTGCCTCAGAATGGCAACAGTGAGAACTTGACTTTAGATTTGTTATGACGCAGCTAGAACGCTGCTCCTGAGATCCATTAGATTCGATTCTAGATTCTAGATTAGATTAATTTTAGTATTTTAATAAATCCTTTTAAAACTAGGTTGAGCATTTGATCATATAATTATAGCTGAACCACCGCTTGCAGAAATTTAGATGTGGCATTTAGATACGTCGTTAGATAGTTAGATGCGTAGGCAGCGACATTCGTGATTCGATTAGTGTACATTAGTGCGTACATAAACATTTTTTGGTGCTATATGCCGGGAAGTCGGCTAATATTCGAAAATATGGATTCGTAAGTATGGATTGCACGGTGTGAAGTGTGCGAAGCCTGCAAAAGGTAGGATAAGTTTTCTATTTAAAGTGTAATTATGGAAGATCCTGTCGCTAAGCTTAAATTGAAACGCAAAGTGTTAAGGACCGCAGTGTCCAAGGTACTAAAGAAAATTGAGACAGAATTAAGCAAAGATGACGTTAGTATAAATGTAATAGAAGAAACTTTAGAAATATTAAACGAAAAGGCAAAAACTCAGTGGTTTAAACACTCAAATAGATAAGGATTTGAAGATCTCAGAGGATGAATTTGAACTTGAAGTTTCATCCGCTCTAGAATATGAAGAAAAAATCCAACTGTGGCAATTTAGAGCAAGAAAAAAATTGAGGGAATTACACAAACTCGAAAATTCGGATAAGGAAAGTATGAACATTCCTAATGAAACCGCTATAGATTCCAAACTTGAAAATAATAAAATTATCCGCCTTCCAGAATTGACTATCGCTAAATTTTTTGGTGATTCTAGCAATTGGCAGGAATTAAAGCCAATTCGAGGCAGCTATCCATAACAATGACTCATTATCAAAAGTAAATAAGTTCAGTTACTTAAAGTCATTACTAGGTCAGGTAGCTTATAATGCCGTTTCCGGACTCTCGCTTACAAATGAGAACTACGATTCAGCTATAGAACTGTTAACTAGCAGGTTTGGGAGAAAAGATTTGGTAATAAATGCTCACATGAATAAACTGTTAAATCTTTCCCCTGTAGAAATGTAAGGGATATAGAAAATCTTAGGAATTTATATGATCAGTGTGAAACTCAAATTAGATGCTTAAAGTCAATGAACGTCGTATCAGAAACTTACGGTAGTTTACTTTGCCCAATACTGCTAAAATTAATTCCATCAGAGATAACATTAGAATACAGTCGCAGTAGAAACAGTGACCAAACATGGAACGTTAACGAATTAATGGAATTTATTCGTAAAGAAATAGAAAGCCGCGAAAGAGCTACGCAGTTAAATGAAAGTAGAGAAACAAAAACAAAACACCGACCGGAAATGATTCAGAACTGGAGGCATAAATCAAACGATCGTCTCCGCTCCGCTCACGATAATGTCAACAACAAGTGCAGTAAACAGTTTGAAAGAAGTTTGCCTAAAACGTATGAATATGTTGCTCCAGTCGCTAGCAGTAAATGCATATATTGTGACGAACTACACGATTCGGAGCGCTGCGAAATTAAAACCGTGGAGGAGAAAAGAAATATTTTAAAATCTCAAGCCCGATGTTTTTTGTGTTTAAAATCTCAACATAAAATTAAGCAGTGTAAGGAAAGAAAAATGTGCGAAATATGTTATAAAAAAACACAATAGGTCTATTTGTTTCCAACTCGAAACCAAATCGGAGAAAAACAAGGTCTTGTCGACAAGTCCATCCAGTAAAGAAGATGTTCAGATTAGTCAATTAAAAACCGAAACTTTCCGCAGTGCATTGCTACAAACGTGTACTGTGATGATACGTCCATTTTCTGGGAAGGATAATTTAGATCATAAAGTAATAACTGGTAGACTTAAACGTTTTAAAAATAAACTTATAGCTTCCGAAACAATATTTGGATGGTGCCTTCAA